AACGGCCACACGGATTCACTCCCTGTTGAAGCAGGAGTCTCCTCCTTCTCTATGCACCTGCTCTAGGCAAGGGTGGCTTCTTAGCACAGCACTTTATTCTCACTCAGCAGCATTCTGTGACCGTCTCGATGTGCTTGGCATTCGGGTGGCTGCTGGTGATGCAGCAGTGAGCAAAGCAGCCATGGCCCAGCCCTTGTAGGGCTTCCTCACAGTCTAGGGTGAGGTTGACAAGAACAAAAGAACTACACAAGCAAGTTGTGTACAACTGTAAGTCACAGTACTCCAAACATGAAGCCATGACTGTATATAGTGAAGGAATTTGTCCTGATCGAAGAGGCCAGGGAAGGCTTCCCTGAGGAAATGATGACTGAGCTAAAAGCTGAAGGGTAAATGGGAGTTAAGAAAAGAGGGGAAAGAGCATGTGCAAAGGCCCTGTGGCTGAGGAAGCATGGATGGTTATCAGAATGAAAAGGTCAGTGTGGCTGGAGTGTGCAAAGAGCAAGAAGGGAGCAGGGTAGGAGAGGAGATTCAAGAGGTGCAGGGAGGGAGACAGGGACTTAAGATGATGCCAGCCTTCTAGCTTGGGTTCAAGGATTTTGTCTTTATCTCCAGAGCAATGAGAAGCCACTGAGAAGTTTCAAGTGGCAGAGAGTACCATCATCAGATTCGCATTTGGGAACAATTACTCTAGCTGCTCCGTGAAGAGCAGAGTGGGAATGGGTGTGGGTAGAGCAGTAGGAGGAATTTGTAGTCACCCAGGTAAGAGAGACAATGATGATATCTGCCAGGGTGGAGTTCATTGATATATTCATTCAGGAATTAGTTGTGGAGTAGCTATTTGCTGGGCTCTGCTGGCCTTGGAGATCGAACAGCTAGCAAAACAGAGAAAAATGTGTGCCCTCTTGGAGATTATCTTCTGGGGATGGGAGACAGTGTTAAAAAGGTGCTAATGCTTATGGGGCAAAACAGAGTTGAAAAGAAAAAAATACAGTTGGCAAGGGGAGGGAGGCTTCCATGGCAGTTGGTAATTTTAAATAGGGGGTCAAGGCTTAACTGAGAAGGGACATTCGAATAAAGAGCTGAAGGAGGTGAGGGAGTGACACATGCAGAATCTGGGGGCAGACAGTTCCCAGCAGAGGGAACAGGGAATGCAAAGCCTTGAGGCGGGAGTGAGCCTGGCCCAATCCAGGATCAGTGGCCGGAAGAGACTGAGCATGGGGAGAAGAGGAGGAGGAGATGAGGTCCAAGAGGTAATGGGCTGGAGAGGGAGGGTCCTGAAGGGTCTTGGGGGCCATTGTGAGGCCTCTGGCTTTTCCTCCCCCTGAGATGGGGCATCCTTGCAGGATTTTGTCAGAGGAGTGACTCAATCTGATTTATTTTTAAACAGAAGCACTCTGCTGCAGTGTTGAGAAAAAAATCAGAGGAGGACAAAGAATGGCATCAAGGAGTCTTTTATAAGGGATGGCAGTGGCTGCACTGAGACGACAGAAGTGGAAACAATGAGAAGTGACTGGATTCAGAATATATGTTGCACATGGAGCCAGAAAGATTTAGAGAGATTAGATGTGGGGTGTGAGATGATAAAAGGTTCTAAAATGACTCCAAGATTTGTGGCCTGAGAAACTGGAAGGACGGGGTTGCCATTGACTGAGATGGGGAAGACTGGGGAGGAGCAGAGATTTGGGGGAGGGGGGCGATCAGGAGCTCAGTTTTGGCTGTGTTGAATTTGGGGTGTAAGACATCCAAGGGTGTCAAGTAGGGAGTTGCATGAGCGAAACTGGAACTCGAGGGAGAGGTCTGGGCTGGAGACACATATTTGGTTGTCATCAGCAGAGAGATGGTATTTAAAGCCCTGAGTCTGGATGAGATCACCAAGGGAGTGCACAGAGGGACGCAGAAAAGAGCTGAGGTCCTCCTCTGAGCCCTGGGGCACTCCAGCAAGGAGGTTAGGGAATGAAAGAGGGAGCAGCAAAGAAGACTGAGAAGTCACAGCCGGCAAAGTAGAGGGAAAACCAGGACGGTGTATTGTCTTCAAAGCAAGTGAAGAAAGCGTTCAAGGATCACCCAGGGATCCACCGTGTCAAATGAAGCTGATAGGTTAGCAAGACGAGGACAGAAAAATGGCTGCTGATTTAGCAACGTGGAGGTCACTGGTGACCTTGAGAAGAGTAGTGTCATGGAGCACTGGGGGTGAAGGCTTGACCCAAGTGGGCTCTTATGGCAGAGACGGGGAGAAGTGGACAGATTCTTCCGGGCAGGTGTGACTTACTGAGCCCCAGCCGGGTGCCAGAGATGATGTACCTACTCCCAACAGCTCAGTGAGGACCCTGAGGCTCAGCCAGGTTCAGGGCTTGTCCCAGGTCCCACAGCAGAGCTGGGCTTCCCCACTCAGGCCTGTCTGCTTCTGAAGCCTGGCACCTTGCTGCTCTGCTGCATCTGACACCCTGGTCCTTCCTGGGCTGGTCCTTCCAGGCCTTACTCTTCCTCCTCCTCCTTCCAGACTTCCTTCACATGGCTAGCCGGGACCTAGGGGGAGATTCACCATCTTGCCTGGTGGGTGTGATTTGCCTAGGTGTAGACAAACACCCGCCTACCCGTTTTCCTTGCAACACCTGCAGCACGCACAGGTGCTAGGAGAATGGCAACAAACAGGCCTCACCCTCAGCCTTCAAGCTTAGTGCTTACACACCTAGTCCTTTTGGCCCCAGATAGTCCTGGGTTCAAATCCTGCCTCTGCCACATCTTACTTCTATGACCCTGGGCAAATCCCTTAGTGGGGATAAGCTTTGGTCGTCTCATCTGTGTAATGGGGACAAGAATCTCTGCCTCTCAGAGTTCATATGCGGATGCAGGATGGGGACACAAAGGGCCCACCTCACTCCTGGTACGTAGTAAGCACTCATGCAATGGTTGCCACCAGTTTTATTGCCCACCAAAGTTGGAGTGGAGTTTGCAGGTGGCTGGGGAATAGGCTAGCAATGACCAAGCAGCCTTCTGGAGCTTGCATGGGGAGAGCTGGGTGGACAGTCATGGAGCCTAGGGGCTGACCTGCAGGGGCCACTGGGGAGACAGGGCCTTAGGTGGGGCTCCTGCCTGGAGCCCAGGAAGCTGGAGGACAAGGAAGGAGGGGTGTGAGCCTCAGATAATTTCATTGCGTAACATGTATGACCTCATACTGCCTTAAACAGAAGCAGGAGGGTGTAGTGGGTTAGAGCACATGCTCTGGTGACAGACCCTGGGTTCAAGTCCAGGCTGCTGAGCAACCTCAAATTGCTTTACTTAACCTCTTTTTGCTTTGCTGTCCTCCTTTGTATGAAAGAGATATTTATAGCGCCTCCTTCTTAAGTATTGTCAGTGAGGATTAAAACTAATATGTGTGAAATGCTTCGAACTAGGAAGCTCTCGAGAAACATATAAATGTTAATGGTTATTGTTATCACTAACACTTATCACAATCCTGTGAGGTAGGTACTATCTCCATTTTATAGAAGAGGAGCCAGTGGCACAGAGAGGGTCTGTAACCAGCCCAAGGTCACACCAGCCCAAGGTCACACGGTTACTGGGGAAGCCAGAATTCATATTCGAACAGTCCACCTCTGGAGCCCATACTCAACCACTGGACACCTGTCTGCCTGAAAAAGGTGCCCAGAGTCCCAAAGGTGACTCCTTGGGACGGTCTTCTCCTTCTGTGCATGTTGTCACCCACAGAGATGGGGAGTTTGTCACCTCCTGAGAGGGCCAGAGTTCCCATAGCGGAAGACCTTGCTTAGATTGACTTTCCCGTGGACCCTGGGGCTTCTTTCTCGGCCCAGGTCAGTGGCTGTGTCCCCACTGGTCCCCTCAGTGCCCAGAGGGTAGCAGCAGATGTCACCAGGGCTCAACATGCAGAGCTTCTGTTTGGCAGCTTCGTAAGACCCACAGGAAAAGGGAGAGGTGGGTTGTTTACTGGCACATGAACTGGGCCAGTCACTTTTTTGACATCCCTACTGGTTTGGGCTCATTGTCCCCATTTTACAGATATGAAAACTGAGACTCAGAGAAGTTGAATGGCTTGCCCAAGGTTACCTGCTGGGGAAACAGGCCCTCTCTTCCTGTCCTGGGGTGGTGAAATCAGAATTGGGCCCTCATCTGACTGACTCCGAAGCCTGTCTTTCAACTGTCCCATAACGTACATGTGTTCACATGTGCGCACATACATGTACATACCCAAAAATGTGGCTTTCTTACTTGGCACTTTGGTGTTGTTTACAGGGACCTTGAAATGTTTACATGTTATAAGAAGAAACCCAGGGTTGGGAAAGAAAAAAAGATTACCGTGGAGACGTAGCCAGTTGCCCAGCCCATTGGAGATTTTTGTGACTTGGTCATCCCTGTTGTCCCCATGTTTACGTCCTTCCTCTTGGCCGGCCCCATGTGCCCAGCGCTGGCACCCTCTGAGCACTGGGCCCTGGGTTGGGCACCGTGACCCTCAGGCCAAGCAGAAAGGTGAGGGAGGCAGACGTGGAAACCAGTCATTACCATTGGAGGCACTAATCAGTGCTACAAACTTTTTCTCGGTTTTTCCAATGCAACCTGCTCCCTTCCGCCCCTTTGCAAATGCTCTTCTCTTTGCCAGAACCCTCTCCTTCTTAGTTTGCCAATTCCAGCTCATCCTTTAGATCTCAGCTTGGTTGTTACTTCTGTAGGAAGCCCCCCAAAATTTAGGTTAGCCATCTCTGCTGTGCAACCCCCAGACATAGTACTTATCCTCTACTGTAATTGCCTAGCGATTTGTCTGTCTGCCCTGTTCGAGTGTGGGCTCCACAGAGGCAGGGGCCATGGCCATTTTCTCACCATTATATTATTAGTACCTGGAACAGGGCCTGGCACATAGAAGGAGCTCAGTAAACATGTTGAATGAATGAATGAATGTCACTTGGACAAGGGAGAGAGCTACATGTTCAACTTCTGGCACAGATGTTCTATCTGACTCTCTCTCCTCTCTTGTGTTCATTTTCCAGCTTTGGCAGCCAGGACGCCCCCAGAGCCAAGACCTTCTCCAGAAGGTGACCCCTCCCCACCGCCACCACCACCACCGATGTCAGCCTTGGTTCCCGACACTCCCCCGGATACCCCTCCTGCCATGAAGAATGCCACTAGCCCTAAGCAGCTCCCACTGGAACCAGAGAGCCCCCCAGGGCTGGTAGGGCCTAGGCCAGCCCCCCAGCAGGAAGAGTCGCCTTTCTCAGAAGTGAAGATCAGGGGACCCACCCCACCAGCCACAGGCCCACGGGATGCCAGGCCTCCTCGAAGGAGCAGCCAACCATCCCCAACGGCAGTGCCAGCTTCTGACAGCCCTCCCACCAAGCAAGGTGTGTGTGATATCCGTAGTTCTGGGCTCAAACCCAGGGAGATGGGAAAAGAGATGGGGATGAGGCCTGTGGGGTGGGCCCTGAGGCTGACTTCCCTTTAGAGGGAGCCTCTTGACCTAAGTCTGTTCTTATTCCTTCCACTAAGACGTAAAGAAGTCAGGAGAGAGGCACAAGCTGGCAAAGGAGAGGCGAGAAGAGCGGGCCAAGTACCTGGGTGAGTGAGTGGGAAGCATCATCACCCTCTTCACCATCATCACCGTCAACATCCTATTAATGACACTAACCCTGTGGAACACGTCAATATGTGTGCCGTGCTGAGAGCAGCACGTGTTGTCTCATTTAATCCTCTCTGCCCATTTTGAGGATGAGGAAACAGAGGCTTAGAAAGATGAAATCATTTGCCTAAGCCACATATCTAGTGGAGTAGCTGAGATTCAGACCTGGAAGCCTCATCTCACCCCAAATCCCATGCTCTTCCCACAATACCTACATGGAAATCTGTCCAGCAGGCCCCCAAGTCAGACAGGGATCTGGCACTGAAGGACTCATTTCTCCTTCAGCGCCAAGAGACCAGGAGGCCAGTGGGGGAGGAATAGGCCTCTTGTCAGAGAAGCCCTCATTCTGAGGCCTGAGCCAGTCTTCAGGAAGCCCTTAAACCTGAAGGGGGAGTCTGAGAGTCAAGGCACCTCCCCCCCAAGCAGACCGGAGGAAGACCCATCCAGGGCGGGGTACCAGGCAAGGCCCAGCTGCTGCAGAAGCCCTGACACCCACCTGGGCTCCTTTCCCACAGCGGCCAAGAAGGCGGTGTGGCTGGAGAAGGAAGAGAAGGCCAAGGCGCTGCGGGAGAAACAGCTCCAGGAGCGCCGGCGGCGGCTGGAGGAGCAGCGGCTCAAAGCCGAGCAGCGCCGGGCAGCCCTGGAGGAGCGGCAGCGGCAGAAGCTGGAGAAGAATAAGGTGCGTCCGTGCTGCTTTCTGGCTTGGGTGTGCGTGGATCTACGTACCTGTGTGTGTACACACAGCTGTGTTCACAACTCTGCGTCACATGTGTCTACATGGTCATATCTGTGTTCACATCTACAGTTGTGGCCCTGGTTGTACAACATCTGGGCATCTGAGACTGCAGACATGTTTGGTTCTGTACACGCCAGGGTGGGCATTTAGAATGGTGCGCTGTCAGTATGCGTATTTGGGCGTGTGTCCTGGGTGTGCGTGTTTGTATGTGTGCAGACGTGTGTCTGTGTGAGTGTGCTGAGCTCCACGACATGAGAGTCCTGGCTTGAGCCCCAGTGAGGAAATGGAGGGAAAGGTGGCCGGGGCCCTGCCAGAGGCCCTCAGGCTAAAAGGAAAACAGCCCCAAGGTCAGGACCCGCAGGCCCAGGGGGACGTGGCCCTGCCTGGGAGCGTCCCACCCCATCTCCAGAGAAACAGCTCATCCACTCAGGAAGTGACTCAAGAACAGTGAAAAGCTCCCCAAGAACAATACGAAAGGGACTTGTTGCAAATGGTCTTTAATCATAGCAAGGATTCGGTAACCTTGGTTACCTGCAATGAGTCAGGGAAAACTTCTCGGGTTGGGAGAGGCATTGTCACAGGAGAGAGGAGCCTTTTTCCCAGGTATGATGAATGATTCTGAGCCCAGACCTCTCCCCTCTCCCCTCTGCCCCCCAGGAACGCTATGAAGCAGCCATCCAGCGGTCAGTGAAGAAGACTTGGGCCGAAATCCGGCAGCAGCGCTGGTCCTGGGCAGGGGCCCTGCACCACAGCTCCCCAGGACACAAGACCAGTGAGTGGGCTGAGGGACTGGGCGAGGCTGGGGCCTGAGGAGTAGGGGAAGGGAGCAGCTTGAGTGCAAAGAGCCGGCCGCTCCCTGTGGCAGGTATGCCTTGTTTCATGTGACTTGTGTCTTCTGGAATGGTCTGTCAACCAAACTGTCCATTCCCAAGGACTTCCACTCTCAAGCCAGAGATGGATTCTCTTCATTTGGTTTGCTCATCAAACCTCTGTCATTTTAGGATTAGCTTTCTTTGCTCCTGTCAATTATTATTAGTTGATGATACATAAAAGAGGACTTTAATGCCCTGCGGACACTGGGTATTTAAAGAAAACTATTACCCCTATGTACCTATCTTGGAAGGTAGATTTTTGTCTCTGAGCATTCTTCATGTAGGGCCATCATGGATTTTGGTCTGATTCTTTGCTGGCATGTATGTACCTCTGTGTTTGGATGTCTTTATGTAATGGCAAGGTTCAGAATATCTAGCTGTGTATCTTTTGGTGTATGTACTCATGGATCTGTGTGTTGTGTGTCTTCATATGCGTTTGCCTTGGTGTGTTTGTGGCCTTGTGGACCTCAGTGAGGGCTCCCAAGTCAGACAGAATTGGGTTAGGATCCCAGCTCTCGCACTTGCGGTGTGAACTCTAACTGCTCAATGTCTCACTTTCTTCATCTGTGAAATGGGGATAACCATCCTACTTGCCTCCGAGGTTGTAGGTAGATGTTTGGGAGGATCAAGTGAGGTAACAGGTGTGTGGTGCCCAGCACAGTGCCTGGTACATGGTAAGCATCCCACAAATGTTAGCTGTTACGAATACTAAATGTTGCTTCGATGTCTTTGTGCCTGTGTGCATCTGGGTCTGACACGTTATCTGTTAGTGTTTGTGTTTCTCTATCTGTGCATGTCTGCACACGTGTGCATGCGGGTACCTGTCACTCGATATGCTCGCGCCTGCATGTCTTTGTCTCTGTGTGTCCGTATGAATATGTGGATTTGTGCGAATGACTGTGTCTGTGGGTTCTTCTGTTTAGGACCGTCTTTGCATTTGTCCCAGTCCGTGGGTGTTGTAGCCATAGCGCCTTGGCTGGGCAGTGTCAGCAAGTGCCAATACTGGGTGGCTGTGGGGGAGGGGTTGCAGCGCCCAGCCCTAGGGAATGGCTTCCTGGCCAGGAAGGCTGTAGTTTCTGTAGTTTTACTCCATCTCCTTCCTCTGTTCCTTCTCCGTCGGCTCCCCCAATCCAGGTGGTCTCGGGTCACCTACCTCCCCTCCTCCTAGAGCCAAGTCTGCCTCCTCCTCCCCTTCCTAGCCTGCCCACTCCTCCCTCTCCCACCCTCCCCTTGGAGCATCCTGCATGGAAGGCCTCAGTGCCCCCCCTGGCTCCTGCCCGGCCCGGCCCTAATGCCGTGTCTTTTCCCCTCCAGGTGGGAGCAGGTGCTCCGTGTCGGCAGTAAACCTGCCCAAACACGTGGACTCTATAATCAACAAGCGGCTCTCAAAATCCTCTGCCACGCTCTGGAACTCCCCCAGTAGAAGTAAGAGAAGGCCCAGCCCTCCTCCCTCCAGAGCCCCTTGTAGCCACAACCAAACCTTCTCCAGAGCTCAGCAAGAACCCCAGGTCCCCGGACCCTCACATACTCCAGGTCTCCATCCCTACTCTATCCCACCCAGGGCTCTGTGCCCCTCGGGGGAGCCGGCATTTGGGTCTGGACCCTGAGGACAGAGGTGTGCCCTGCAGGGGAGGAGAACAGAGACAAAGGGCAGTGTCCCAGCAGGCAGAGAGCCTGGCAGGGGCCTCAAGAGCAGGTGGGGGGGAGGGGGAGTGGGAATGAGCAGGCAGCCTCATCTCCAACCACAGCCAGCTGGCCTAGGCCAGCCTTAGGCAGGTGGCCTGCCCCTGAGTACCAGACTGGCCTGGGTGCTGCGTGGGTGGAGGGGGCCCCTTATTCTGGCTCCACCCTGGAGACCCCATGCAACCCTGCCCTCTCTGCCTTCAGATCCCCAGCCATGGCCTTGGCTGGTTCCAGAGTTGTGACCAATCGGGGTGGCATGGCCCCTGTGTTCCCACCATGCTCTGGTGCTCACATGTTAAGAGGCCATGATAGGAGTTATTTATAAATTCCTCCAGCTTTTATTTGGTTGCTCTGTTGCCCAGCAACCAAATCAGCTGCTGGACCAACCCCACCTGACTGAGGCTTAAAAATAACCCAGCAGCTGAGGAGACAGAGCAGGGTGGCCCAGGGCAGCCAGGCCCCCTAGCAGCCTCTCCCTGGCATGGGATGCCTAAAAGCTGGGACTCTCCTGAGTCAGAGGGGCACAAGGACCCTCCCTGTCCCAAATCCATGGGGTCATGCCTTGCCAGGCCAGCCCTCTGAGAGCAGGAGGGGAGGGGCCCCACAGTGGGATGTAGAAGTGGGCAGTTGGGTCTTCCACCAACCCTGGGTGGCTCCTTTCTGTGCTCACAGTTCAGAGCCCTTTCACCTGGGGAGGGTGGTCGCAGAAGACCCTCAAGAGATGCAGAAGGTTGCCCTGGGAAGTGTATTGTTGCCTGGGTCTCCAGTGGAGCTCAGACCTTAGGGTGGATAAGTGTGGTCCTGCGTGACTGGGGGGAGAGTCCTCCTGGGGGAGACTCCTTGGGTTTGGCGTGGGGATGGTACATGGCCATCCCCCTATGCCTCTGCCTGTCTCCTGCGGCCCCTGGCGGTGACCGGCTTCTCCTGGCGTTCTTCCCCTAGATCGCAGCCTGCAGCTGAGCGCATGGGAGAGCAGCATCGTGGACCGTCTGATGACGCCCACCCTCTCCTTCCTGGCACGGAGTCGCAGTGCGGTCACACTGCCACGAAACGGCCGGGACCAGGGTAGGGGTGGCGGCACCGGGAGAGCCCCCGCGAGGGGCGGGGCAGGGGCCCGCCTCGCGCGTGCGCCTCACCCAGACCGCACTCATCCCTCCGCAGCCGTGCCGGTGTGTCCGCGCTCGGCCTCCGCCAGCCCCCTGACACCGTGCAGCGCCCCCCGAAGCGCGCACCGCTGCGCCCCCGCCGGGGAGCGCCGCAAGCCCAGCGCGGGGGGCAGCCCCGCCTCGGTGCGCCGCCGGCCCGAGGCCTCGCCGGTGAGTGGCGGCGCAGGTGGGGACAGGGAGCCCGGCCCGGGGAGCCGCTGACCGTGCTCCCCCTCTCCCCGCTCTCCTTCCCCCGCCTCGCCAGGTGCAGAAAAAGGAGAAGAAGGACAAGGAGCGGGAAAACGAGAAGGAGAAGAGTGCCCTGGCCCGCGAGCGCAGCCTCAAGAAGCGGCAGTCACTGCCTGCCTCTCCGCGCGCCTCTCCGCGCCCCTCTCCGCGCCCGCGCCTCTCCGCTGCCACTGCTGCCGAGCTCAGGTGGGCGGGCCAGGGGCAGGGCCGGCCATTCATTCATTCACAAATATTTGTTGGGCACCCACCCCTAGCCTGAAATATTTTTTTGAGCGTTTTGATCACTGAAGTACTATAGCACCTAGAACAGTGCCTGGCATCTGGCAAGCGCTCAACGCATACCTGCGGAATGAATGAATGGCTCTGCCAGGTACTGTTCTGAGCGCTGAGGACATTTCAGTGAGCCAAACCAGGCCCAGTTTTCACTCATATTAATCGTACCGGCTACTAGGGAGACAGACATTAGTCAAAGAATCACAAATGAATATGTGATTACAAACTGGGATATATGCTCTAACAGGAAATTATATGGTTCTGTAAGAGCATATAAGGTGGGGGTGCTGACCTAGCCCTGGGAGGACACTTCCCTGATGAAGTGACATGCTCAGAGTGTGTGTGTGTGGACACTCTGTGCCCTCAAGGCCTAACTCTCCCCTTTTCTCTTCAGTCCCAAATCCAAGGCCCGGCCATCCTCTCCCTCCACATCCCGGCACAGGCCTGCCTCTCCCTGCCCCAGCCCAGGACCAGGCCACGCTCTGCCTCCAAAACCACCATCCCCCCGAGGCACCACTGCATCACCCAAGGGGCGGGTTCGGAGGAAGGATGAAGCGAAGGAGAGCCCCAGTGCCGCAGGGCCTGAGGACAAGAACCAGAGCAAGGGCAAGGCCAGTGACGAGAGGGAGCCTGCAGCCCCTGCCTCTCCAGCACCCTCGCCTGTGCCCTCACCCACCCCAGCCCAGCCCCAGAAGGAGCAGCCCACGGTGGAGATCCCTGCAGGTGGGCAGGGCAAGAGAAGCCAGCTTCTCCTGTGTGGGGGAGGTGGCCAGAGGTGTGGGCCACCAGAGATGCCTGGGGAGCGGATGTTGGGAGACAGGAAGGGGAGGCTCCTGCCCTCAGCAGGACCAGCCCCAGATCACAGGCTAAAGAGGAGGACCTCACCACTCTGAGACGATGGCAGGTTGCCTTGAGGTCCAGCAAGCATGGGGCATGCTGGGGTGATGGAGGTGCCTGTGCTGGTGTGTGCTGACTCCTGGTCCTGGATCCCGTTCCAGATACTGCTATCCTGACCACACCCCCAGCCCCTGCTTCCCCAGCGACCCCTAACAAACCCATGGCGGGCACCACAGACCGAGAGGAAGCCACTCGCCTCCTGGCTGAGAAGCGGCGCCAGGCCCGGGAGCAGCGGGAGCGCGAGGAACAGGAGCGGAGGCTGCAGGCAGAAAGGGACAAGTGAGTACGCCCTCGGGGACTGAGGAGGCCCTTACGGGGTCTGCAGAAGAAGCACAGGACGGAGCCTGAGTTCCCTCTGTCCCCCAGGCGAATGCGAGAGGAGCAGCTGGCGCGGGAGGCCGAGGCCCGGGCTGAGCGGGAGGCCGAGGCCCGGAGGCGGGAGGAGCAGGAGGCCCGCGAGAAGGCGCAGGCGGAGCAGGAGGAGCAGGAGCGGCTGCAGAAGCAGGTGCCCCTCTGGGCTGGGCGCGGGCGCCGCCTGGTGGCAGGCCGGGGGCTGGCCCGGAGGGAAGGCAGGGGTCCAGCTGCCTAAAGCTCCCCGGGGGTCTTTGACAGAAAGAGGAGGCCGAAGCTCGGTCCCGGGAAGAAGCAGAGCGGCAGCGTCTGGAGCGGGAAAAGCACTTCCAGCGGGAGGAGCAGGAGCGGCAAGAGCGCAAAAAGGTGTGCGGGGGAAGTGGGCGGGGCTTGTGTGGGCGGGGCTAGCTGCTGGGCGGTGTCCAGGCTTCAGTTAGCGGGGCTGGGGGGAGTGGGCCCTGCCTTGAGCTTAGAAGGTAAGACGAGAAGGAATTGGGGCGAGCTCTGGTTCCTGGCCTGGAAAGGACTGGTATGAGCTGGAAGGGCCCTGCGATTCCAGGACAGGGGATGGCTGGTGGGAGGTTGGAGACTAGGGCGTGGCTCGGGCCTAACTGATGTGGGACCTCCAAACAGCGTCTAGAGGAGATAATGAAGAGGACTCGGAAGTCAGAAGCTGCTGAAACCAAGGTCAGGATTCCCGAAGGGCAGTGTTGGGAGTGGGGGTCCAGTGAGGAAAGGTGGCGGGGGAAAGGTATCTAGGGTGGGGTCGGAGGCTGTGGGAAGGCCGTCAGGGTCTGGGCTGGGCAGAGAGGAATTCAGCCCCTCGGTTGGTGGGGCCCGGTATCCCTTGAGTCTGACCGCTCTTCCTCTTCAAAGCAGAAGCAAGACAGAAAGGAGGCAAAAGCCAACAATTCCAGCCCAGGTAAAGACCCTGTTCCCCTCATCTCCATCCCCTTTGCCATCCCATCCTCTAACCTCCTCCTCTCGCCAGCCCCTAACTGATGGCCATTCCTTCCCTGTGGTAGACCCTGCAAAAGCCGGGGAGGCTCGGCCATTGGGGCTGCAGAAGGAGGCTGTGCAGAAAGAGGAGCCTGCCCCCCAGGAGCCTCAGTGGAGGTATCTGTTCCGATTCCCAGGGGCCCCGAGCAGGGAGGCAGGGTCAGGCTGGAGCTGTGGGGTGCCTAGGCTGTCCTGGGATGGGAGGTACCTGATTGTTGGCCCCTGCGTCCACAGCCTGCCAAGCAAGGAGTCACCGGGGTCCCTGGTGAATGGCCTGCAGCCTCTCCCAGCGCACCAGGAGAATGGCTTCTCCCCTAAGGGACCCTCTGGGGACAAGAGTCTGGGCCGAACGCCAGAGGCACTCCTGCCCTTCGCAGAGGCAGAAGCCTTCCTCAAGAAAGCTGTGGTTCAGCCCCCACAGGTCACAGGTAGGGATCCCTGATCTTGGACCCACAGCCTTCCCTCTCAGCAGCCTTTCTTCGCTTCCCCGGTCCTGCCCTCTCTTCCAGCTCTGCCACCGGCCCTCTCACACTCCACCTGGAAGACCACCAGCTGCCTGGGCTTGGAGGCATGGTTTACCTGATGTTTTCCCTCCTGCTTTTTTCCCAGAAGTCCTTTAAGGAGGTGCCTTGGATCCAGGCACAGCTATGGGGGCTCCTCTGCGTCATCCGCTAGGATGTCTGGAAGAAAAAGAGACAGAACAAAGCCGGAAGTGGCCTGGGCCCCTGGGGGTGGGTCCTCTCTGTTATTTCTAATTTGCACCTTATAGACTGATGTCTCTTTGGCCAGAGCCAGACCCTGCCCCTCAGTGCATTCGTGTGCTCACATGTGCAGACACCCCCTCCCCCCAGTACACACACATACACTCACAGCCTCTCGGGCCTCCTCCCTTGGGGAAGGGCCACCTGTAGTATTTGCCTTGGTTTGGTGGGGTACAGTGGATGTGAATACTGTAAATAGCTTGTGCTCAGACTCCTCTGCGTGGAGGGGGTGGGTGCAGGAGGCAGACCCTCCCAAGACTCCCTGGGGAGATCGTCCTCTCTCTATTTAACTGTAACTGAGGGGGAACCCAGGTCTGGGGATGGGGGGCACCTTGGGCCACAGGATACTTGTTGCTTTAGGGGTACCCATGCCCCCTGCCCTTGCCTGGAATCAGTGTTATTGCATCTGATCAAACTTCTGCAGAAATAAAGTGAGAATAATTCTGCCAGTCCTGTCTATCCTTGGGGCTGGCAAGTGGGGCGGGTGGTGGGCTTGGGAGCAAGTGGCCTTCTGAGTTCTAACGTGAACTTAAGGAGCCAGGGCCTGGGGATATCTACCCCTACTTGGTACCAGCCTGTGGTCTTCCAATTAGTCATGAATTCATTCATTTACTCATTTAACAAATACGGTCGCATCTCCTCTGTACCAGGCAGTGGGCTACATGCTGGGGTGCAGTAGTAGGAAAAGATGTAGCGTCTGTTCTCCTGGAGTTTACAGTCCAGCAGGGGAGCGTCATAGACACTGTGAGTCGCCTACTGCACATCCATTCCCATCGCCCCCTCCTCATTCCAGACAATCCTGATCTTGTTCAGGTGGCCGTCTCCCCCCTGGATCCTGCCCTGTGCATCAGTGGAGATGAGTTGTAGGCCCAGGGATGAACCATGATTGTAGTGAGCCAAAAATGATGGTCCCGAGCCTCTCGTGAATGATTGGGTTAGGTATGGGCACGTGACACAATTGTAGCCCACAGATATAAAGAAAAGCCTCCTGGGCTTTCTAGGAGAGGCTCCCTCACTTTTGAAACACAGTACCATGTGGGAGCCAGCCTGTAAGATGACCTCCCAGTGTCTCCTACCTCCTAGAGTTCTCACGTGTGTAGTCCCTGCCCATGTTGTGCCAGGGCTGGGCCAAGTGACCGATGGAGCGTCACGTCTGAGATTCGGTCACAAAGACACTGCAGCTTCTGTCTTGGTTGCTCTCTTGCTCTTGAATCACTCGCTTTGGAGGAAGGCAGCTGCTACGTTGTGAACAGCCTTTGGAGGGGCCCACGTATCAAGGGACTGAAGCCTTCTGCCAACAGCCATGTGAACGAGCTTGGAAGCAGACCCTCCAGCCCCAGTTAAGCTTTCAGATGATTTCAGCCCCGGTCCACAGCTTGACAATAACCTCATGAGAGACCCTCTGCCAGAACCAACCCGTTAAACCACTCTTGGGTTTCTAACCCTCGGAAAGTGTGAGACAATAAATGTTGTTTTAAACTGCTAAGCTTTGTGATAATTTGTTATATAGTAGTGGTTTAAGACACAACAAGGAGAAAACCCTCATCGTATGATAGGAAGTCCAACTGCGATGCCTGGAATTGCTGCATCCATCCTGCTAACCAACCTGAGGACGAAGCAACATCAAGGGTGGCAGAGCAATGAGATGGGGAGCACCCAGGTCCTCCCTTGAGAACACCACTGAATTAACCAGCCCCAAAACAGGTCCTACCACCAGACAGCCTTCCTTATTGCTCAAGCCAATGGAGTTGGCGTTTCTGTTATGTGTGGCCAAAAGCTTCTAAATTATCTAGGGGTACAGATGATAAGCAAATATGTAAATGCAATTCTGTTGTGAGCTACAATGAAGAAAATGAACTGGATAAAAGCATGGGCAATAAGAGGGAGACCTCCTCAGAGAAGGTGTCCTCTAAAGACGCAGCATTTCAACTTGACCTGAAGGATGAGGAGGAGCCAGCCATGTGGAAAAGAGCAAGGAGAAGAGTTGCAGGTGAAGGGCGCAGTCTGTGGGAAGGCCTGAGGAGCAGGAGCAGGGGCAGGGTTGCTGAGGCATGCAGACAATGAAGAGAGCTGGGTGGGGAAGGAGAGGTGGGCGGGGCTGAGTCACAGGTGTTGGGGATGAAGGAGGGGCAGGAACGGGACTAACAGTTTCTGGACCTTCTCCTTGGTGAGAGCTTTGTTCACCCCTCCCAGCCCCCAGCTCGTATTCACACCAAGGCAGAAGAACCAACATTTCCCTGAAGGCAGTACCCTCAGTACTCTTGCAGGGGAATCATTTAGTCACTCATTTATTCATTCAATAAATTGTGGAGCACCAGCTAAGCCCCAGAGGGATACGACGGTAAGCAAAAACCAGACGTGGAAGCTCCCAGTGCTTCCTGGTGGGGAAGAGGGATATTAACCAAATAACCACACAAACAAACGTAAAAATAGAAAACGTGATAAGGGCTATGAAGGTGGAAGACAGACAGCAATAAGAGCATCTAACAGGGGGACCTAGGTTGGGGGTCGGATAAGATATTCCCAAATAAATGGTGTTTAATTTGAGATCTGATGGGTGAGTAGGTGTTGACTGGGCAAAGTCAGGAACATAGAGAAAGGAGAACAAAGCACTTTCCAGACAAGGAAAAAGCATATGCAAATGTCCTGCGTGAAAAGGAGGTGTGTTTGTGCACCTGGAGGGTGGTAAGCAGGTCTGAAGGAGTCTGCTTTTGCTCACCACTGCATCCTCAGAGCCTGGTACAATAGGCGCTCAATATTTGTCGAATTAAGAAAGGTCCGTTGAGGAGGTGGAGCTTGGCATGAGGTGAGCCAGGCCGTGCAAGGCCTTGTAAGGCTGTGTCAGGAGTTTGGATTTTATTCCAAGGGCCATGGGAAGCCACTGAAGGCTACTAAGCAGGGAGTAGGAAGTGTGACATGGTCAGACTGGCATTTTCATTAGACCACTCTGGCTGTCGGGTGGGAAACCGGCAGGGACTTGATTGTAAACTGGGAGACCAGTTAAGAAGTGATTGCTGAGGTCCAGAAAGGAGATGATAGAGGTTCAGGCTCAGGAAATAGAGATGGAGAGAAGTGTGCAACATTAATTTACATGTTTATTCAAGAAACGTTGGGCACCTACTATGTGCCAGTCACATAAGTGCTGGAGATTTCAAGTGAGCAAAAACTGGGGCCAGCCAGGTGGCACACCGGTTAAGTTTTCACGTTCTGCTTCGGCAGCCCAGGAGTCACCACTTTGGATCCCGGGTACAGACCTACGCACACTGCTTGTCAAGCCATGCTGTGGTAGGCGTCTCACATATAAAGTAGAGGAAGATGGGCATGGATGTTAGCTCAGGGCCAGTCTTCCTCAGCAAAAAAGAGGAGTATTAATGGCAGCTGTTAGCTCAGGGCTAATCTTCCTCCAAAATTAATTAATTAATTCAAAAGTGACATAGTCTTTACCCTCATGGAGCTTATAGTCTAGTGGAAGAAATAGACATTAATCAAATAATATTACAAACAAATGGACAGGTACAACTATGACAGGTATGTGAAGGAGAGGTATATGGTGCTAGGAGAGTGAATAATAAGGGATCTGACCCAGTCAGGGAGGTCAAGGAGAGTGTCCCTGAGAAAGCAATGCTGGAGCCGAGATCTCAAGGAATAGGAGCTAACAAGGCAGAAAGGTGGGATTCCAGACAGAGGAAGCAGCATGTGCAAAGGCCCTGTGATGAGCACATCAAGTATAGTTGGAACAGAGTGAGATGGAGGGTGGTGCCAGACAGGTTGGAAGGACCAGACCACACGGGACCCTGTGGGCCATGCTAAGAGTTTGAGTCTTTATTGCAAGAGCCGTGGGAAGTTGCTGAAAGATTTCAGCAGGTGGGTAACATGATCAGATTGACGATTTGAAAAGATGATCAGGGCTACCAGCTGGAAAAGGAACTGAGAGAAGGGGAGTGACAGAAAGAAGTCCAGACAAGAACACGAGTTCTGGTGAGAGACGATGGGCACAGCTCCAGTGAGGGGTGGAAACCAAGAGGTAGATAGAGGAGGTGAAAAAATGGATTGGACATGCGGATTGAAAAAGAAAGGTGTCAAGGACGATTCCAAACTCTCCAGGTCAAATAACCAGATGGGTCCTGGTATGGTGCACTGAGAGGGAGCTCTGGAAGCGAGCCACGTGCAGGGGGACAGATCACGAGTTTGACCTGGAAGTCGCTGGGTAGCAATTTCTTGTACAGGTCTGGTGCCCGGGGATGGGTCTGATCCCCTAGGCTGGGAGGGAGGGGCAGGAGGGCAGCAGGGAAGGGGAGTGGGGGAGTTCCAGGAGGGGAGCCGCGGGCATGGATCTCTGGCGGAGCAGGGCTCTTCCGGGAAGTCCTGGGGCAGGGCGGGCTTGGGCAGAACTGGCCAGGCTGCAGACCTCCTGGTCTATTTCCTGGTTTCCCGCCGCCGGAGACTCAGGAATGTCCGGTCGGATCGTGAGAATGGAGGCGGGGCAGGGGCCCCATGCTCTGCAGAGCCCTCCCTTTCTCCAGCTCTGCCCTTTCCCCAACAGGGCCAGACTTGGCAGGGCCGGAAGGAGGCAGCACATGCCCTTCCCTCCTCCTCCCTCCATCCCAGCCGCCAGCGCTGCTGAACTCCGGCTCTCTTACAACACTGCCCCCAACACACACCCTTTCTTTACCAGGACTCCCCGGCTCCACCGCCGGCGGTCCGTGGGAGCCTCTCAAAAGAGCAGTCACTCCACCCTTTAGCCTGGGCCCGGCTACCCCATGGACGGGCATCTGGCGCCCTCTCGTGGTTAAATTGGCACACTGGCAAGATAGGTGAGGTCCGAGCTGCCGGGACCAGACGCAGGGCTGTAGCTGAGAGGTCAGGAGGTGTGTGTCCAGGCCTGGCCGGGGACTCACTCTACAGCTGTGAGCAATTCCCCTGAGCTCTGCGAGCTTCAATTCCCTCGCCTGCAAAATAGGGCTATTGATGCAAGTGAGGCATTCCTTGAGCTAACACAGAATAAGTTTTGTTGGTTATGAGGCCCTCTCCCCACCTCAAGGGGCCTTGACATCATGGGACAACTCAGTCCTGGGTACCACCAGTCCCTTCACCAAACCACTCCACTTCAGACAGCCATGGCAGACATACTGATGTGGCCCGAATATTGAGCACTAATTATCCCCAGGGCCAGGTCCTTACTTTGAGGGTGCTGGGTCTAGAAGTGGAAAGAGACATACAATTACAATACAACGTAAGAGGTCAGCAACAGAACCAGCCACAGGGTGCAATGGGCAGATAAAGAAGAAACATTTGATCCAGCTTCAAGAGGGAGAGAATGTCAAGGAGGCTTCCCGTAGGAGATAACATCTGAGAAAATCCTTTAAATTAAGGGTTGAGAACTTGAATGCCTCCAAAGGGCAGCCCCTGGTCTACAATTGCAACTGGCTCACAGGTGGAATTGGATCCCAGTACTGCCATGAGTGGCCTAGCAGGGGTAGAATGATGGTAGGGGTCTGCCCCAGGTGTGGGCAATAAAGGTGCATTGTCTGTAGGAATTCAAGAACCATAATAGAAAGGACGAAAAGTTGTTCTGCTTTTGAGTATCACCAGCCATCAGCAGTTTTAAACAATGTCAGTTAAAACATAATTCTCTCAAGTAGAGGAAGATGGGCATGGATGTTAGGTCAGGGCCAGTCTTCTTCAGCAAAAAAGAGGAGGATTGGAGGCAGATGTTAGCTCAGGGCTAATCTTCCTCAAAAAAAAATTCTCTCTGAAAAAAATATTGGTCTGTTACTTTGGTCTGTTAGTTACTGTTGAGTTTTAGTAATATATATGTAAACTACAAATTTATTACTTATCTTTTAATAAACATGAGGTTCTACATGGAAGTTAATTAGGAGAAATCTTACTTGAATTGACACAGACTCAGATACACACATTTGTTTTAAAAGTGATTTCTTAATAATTTGGGATCGCTCAAGCTTGCTTTGGGCTCAGTTGGTGTCTCCAACTCTGTGACAATACATGTTCCTGAGCTTAAACAGTAGTTTCAAGAATGAACAGTGACACACTGATTGTAAAGGCGAAGAAACAGAAGTTAAGTTACTTCAATTCTATCATTCCACGGGACCATTTGTGCTAATAAAACTTACATATTTATTATTAAAACAACAATAAACAGAATTTTGTATTTAAAATTTAAAACAGTGGGAACTCTAAGGTATAATATTTTTTTGTTTGGAAAGTGCAAATTTTAATTCAAACATGAAATGTTTTACCAAATTTAAATAGTATCTTTAAAAGTTAAAGTTATCCTTTTTACTTTTTCTCCATTTTTTTAAATTATGGTAAAATATACATAACATAAAGTTTACCATCTTAAGCATTTTTAAGTGTGTAGTTCTCTGGCATTATGTACATCCACGTTGTTGTACAGCCATCACTACCAATCATTTCTAGAACATTCCACCTTCCCAAACTGAAATTTTGTCCTCTGTGAACACTAACTCCCCATTCCCTCCTCTGCCCGGCCCCTGGCAACCACCATTCTACATTCTGTCTCTATGAATTCGACTAGTGCAGATACCTCATATAAGTGGAATCATATAATATTTGTCTGTTGTGACTGGCTTATTTTACTTAGCATAATGTCCTCAAGGTTCATCCGTATTGTAATGTGTCAGAATTCCCTTCCTTCTGAAGGCTGAATAATATTCCATTGTATGTATCTACCACGTTCTGTCATCCAGTCGTCTGCTGATGGACCATTGGATTGTTTCCACCTTAGGCTACCGTGAATAACGCTGCTGTGAACATGGGTGTACAAATATCTGCTTAAGCCCCTGCTTTCAATTCTTTTGGGTATATACCCAGACGTGGAATTGCTGGATCATACGGCAATTCTATGTTTAATTTTTTCAAGAAACCGCCATCATATTTTCCATGGTATCTATACCATTTCACATTCTCACCAGCAATGCACAAGTGTTTCAATTTCCCCACTTCCCCACCAACTCTTGTTATTTTCTGTTTCACTTGTTTTTTTAATGACCATCATTCTAATCTGTGTGAAGTGGTATCTCAAGGTAGTTTTGATTTGCATTTCCCTGAAGATTAGTGATATTAGACACGTCTTCATGTGCTTATGGGCCATTTGTATGTCTTCTTTGGAGAAATGTCTATTCAAGTCCTTTGCCCACTTATTAATTGAGTTGGTTTTTGTTGTTGAGTTTTAGGAGTTCTTTACATACTCTAGATATTAATCACTTATCAGATATGTGATTTACAAATATTTTCTCCCATTCTATGGGCTGCCTTTCAGTCTGCTGAATGCGTCTGATGCACAGCAGTGTTGAATTTTGATGAAGTCCAATTTATTTTTTTCGTTTGGTGCCTGTGCTTTTGGTGTCATATCCAAGAAATCATTGCCAAACCCAGTGTCATGAAGCTTTTCCCCTATGTTTTCTTCTAAGAGTTTATCGTTTAGCTCTTTTGTTTAGGTCTTTGATTCATTTTGAATTAATTTTTGTATAGCAATTCATTTTTAAAAATGAAAACACTAAGCATTTCAGAGAAAACTTACCTAAGAGCAAGATTCAGTCCCTGGGCTTTGGATGCTAGTATTCCTCAGGCTTGATTATGTCCTCTTCTCACTCACAATTCCAAAGTTGTTCTCATCCACTTCTGGGGCCCAAACTACCGTGCACGTGAGAGGCTGGATGGTGCGGTTAAGAGCACGGATCCTGGCACTGGATTCCTGGGGTTCAAACCCTGGCTCTGTCACTAGTAGTTGCGTAAGCTTGGGTACATTACTTAACTTTATTCCCTCTCATCTGTAAAATGGCAAGAGTGATGGCACATACCTCACAGGTTTGCTGTGAGGAATCAATAAGTTAATGTATGTAAAGAATTTAGAAAAGCGCCTGACACTCGGTAAATCTCAATAGACGCTAGATAACATTTTTTGGTTTTGTTTTCTTTATGCTGATGGCTGCCAAATAAGAATCTCCAGTCCAGACCTCTTTCCTGAGGTTGACAGCCTGCACATCTGTCTGCCGGACATCCTGGCTTGGACATGTTTTTTTTTTTTAAGATTTTATTTTTCCTTTTTCTCCCCAAAGCCCCCCAGTACATAGTTGTGTATTTTTAGTCGTGGGTCCTTCCAGTTGTGGCATGTGCCACGCCACCCCAGCATGGCTTGATGAGTGGTGCCATGTCCGTGCCCAGGATTCGAACCGGCAAAGCCCTGGGCTGCTGAAGCGGAGTGCGTGAACTTAACCACTCGGCCACAGGGCCAGCCCCCTGGCTTGGACATCTTGCAAGTACCACCAATTCAACAGGACTCACAAACTCCTTCCCAGAGAACACCACCAGGATCCGATAGTCTCCCAAGCCAGAGAATCTCTGGGAAGTCACTCCTCATGCCTCCTCACCTCTGAAATGTCTCTGACTCTGTCCCCGGTGCCCTCATGTTAACTCAGGCTGCCATCCTCTCTGCTGTCCTAGAAAGAACAGCAAAGTTTTCTCCTCCAATCTAGTCTCTTCACAACAGCCACAAATCTGCCCAGGGCACTCCCCTGCCTAAATCCTTATCAGGCCTTCTCATCACCTTCACGATAAAATGCACACTCTGTAGAGTGGCTTTCTGCGGGCTTCTCAGCCTGTGACTCTCACACTCTTCCTCTCTTCTCTGTGTTCCCACCACCCTGGATTTGTGACTCTTGTCCGTGTCTCAGGGCCTTTGCATGAACTCTTCCCTCAGCCTGGGACACACCCCCCTGGCTGCCTCCCCATAGTTGGCTGATGACTGTTCAAATCTTAAATATTGCTTCTTCCAGAAGGCCTTCTTTGACCCCAGAGCTCTGTACCTACCCCAGCACAACAAACGCTTTATTGCCACTGTTCATCTATTAACTGCTCCGCTGCCAGAGCCTGAGTCACAGGGGCAGGCACATTTCAGTTGTGTTCTCCCCTGTGTCCTGTCTGGCCCCCTGTGCCTGGCACGCAGCAGATGCTGTCAGTGTGCAATAAATGTCTGAAAGGGAGAAACAGGAGCAAGAGTGTGGAAGCAGAACAGTTGGGGGAATGAGGGAGACTAACAGGCAGGGCATGTTCCTCTGGTGCCACGCGAGACAGGCAGCGATGTTGCCAAGTGTCCCGGAAGCTGGACGGGAATCAGGCACCGAGCGCCTTGTATCCTGATTAGCTGGCAAGTCTATTCTTTCTCCCATGGCACAGAAGACCCCAGAAGGGTTTTAAGTCAGGAGGTGACGTGACTGGAGGTGCAACACCAGCTGGCCACGGGATGGAGGCAGGTGGGCAAGACGAGAGGCAGGAGGACTGTTGTGAGGCTGTGGCAATAACATGTCTCTGGAAGGAAACATAGAGAAGTGGGGAAGGGGACTTGGTGGCTGAGGGACGGGTGGAAGAGATATTCATTGCGTGCTCTTCTGTACCTATGGAATTTAGAATCGCGACTGTATTACCTGGTCAAAAATTCAATTAAAGAGCAGACAAAGGGGTATGTTGCAATAATCTAGGCAAGACATAGTGTCTATAAGATTTTATTTTTTTACGGAACACTAATGCTGACTCTTTAAAGAAAATGAGAAGATACATACAAGTAGAAATAATAAAAAGTAGAATCCCCTGAATTTCCCCCTACCCAAAAGTGCACAGTAATAGAAACACTCCCTGTTTTCCCCTCTAAAGCTACTGGAAGGTTCTGGATGAGGGCTGAGGGCAGAGGTTTATCCCCTGCTGGGGTTGCTGGATTTCACAAATCAAAATGCAGGGCCCCTGGGGCCGGCCTGGTGGCACAGCGATTCAGGGCGCACGTTCTGCTTCTCAGCGGCCAGGGGTTGGCCGGTTTGGATCCTGGGTGCCGACATGGCACCGCTTGGCAAAACCATGCTGTGGTAGGCGTCCCACCTATAAAGTAGAGGAAGATGGGCACAGATGTTAGCTCAGGGCTAATCTTCCTCAAAAATAAATAAATAAATAAATAAATAATAAATTTTAAAAAATGCAGGGCCCCTGTTAAGGTAGAATTTCAGATAAATAATGAATAATTTTTTAGTATAACTATGTTCCAAATGCGGCATGAAAATACTTCCATTAAAATAGTCTTTGTTGTTACCTGAGATTCAGATTTCCCAGGGCAGCCTGTGTTTGATCTGGCAGAGAGCCCTGCTCTGTCCCCTTCCTCTGCCCATACTGCTGGTCCTTTCCCCAATTTGTGTTTTAAATCCCCATTTGAATGATTTTTACTTTAAGTCACTCAAATCTGTTTTAAAAATTGCCACCAACTTTTCTGCAGGGTCCCTGGCCTTACACAGCGCTCACCCCAGGCCCTGCTGGCCCAGCACACAGCAGGTGAGGTGAGTGGGAGCGGCAGGGCGGGCAGCTCTAGCAGTGGGCACTGACAGCTGGGTCCTGGGCCCTGCATCCTGGTGACAAACACTGGTAATTGAGTCTGGATGCTGAGCACTGGGTGCCAAGCACAGGGAACCATGTCCTGGCTCTGAGCTTTGGACTCTGTTTCCTGGAAACCAGGACCAGGGCAGAGGTCACAAGTTCCCGGTCACTGGGCAGAGGGTACTGGGCTCAGTGGCAGTCATGAGCCTGGTGTCACTTACTGCCCAGGGTGGTGTCGGGGGTGAGGCGCTGCCCAGCCCCCCAGTTGTTTTGTAACAGCTGCTGGACTAGGCTAGAGGAGAAATTTAAGGAGCTGGGGGGGCGGGGAGAGAGGGGAAGTGGGCAGGGCAAGGCCACTTGGGCAGGCTGCCTTAGGTCCCAGGTCCTGGGGGCGAGAGCAGGCTGAAGCTCCAGGCCTCAGGGCCCTAGGGGCAAAGGCAGGTTGGGTGGTGGGGAGAGTGGGGACCTTTGGGGCCCCTGTCTTTGTACCCTCCTCCTTTGCCAACCTCCTGGCCCGGCTCCCAGGCCGAGGCAGCTGGAGTGATTAGCGTGGGCCGAGGGAGTACGAATGCCAAAGGCTTGTCTCCCTGCTCAGAACACAAGGATCCAGCCAGAGCAGATGGCACGACTTAGAGTGAGAAAAAGAGACCAGGAGATAAACAGAGATAAACAGGGACAGCACCAGAGACAGACCGGAGAAGAAGGGCAAGACAGGCTAAGAGTGAGCAGCCCAAACAGAGAAATGGGTGTCGTGGCAGGGCCAGATCAGTAGCTACCTTCTCTTTACCTCTTCTTAGAGCCTGCCTTGTCTGAGTTTCTCCCCACTGAGTCCCCCATCACAGCGTTTCTCAGCTCAGCACTATTGATGTTTGGGCCAGAATAATTCTTTGATGAGGGGGCTGTCCTGTGCATTGTAGGATGTTTAGCAGCATCCCTGGCCTTTACCCACCAGATGCCAGTAGCACCCTTTCCCCCCAGGTTGTGACAACCAAAAATGTCTCTAGACATTGCCAATGGTCCCTGGGGAGGAATTGCCCCCGACCGACCACCTTCCCTGCTCCCAAGTAGACGCATGTGCTTGAGGAGAGGCAACTCCTGGTGTCTGGCTGATTCTCCCATCAGCCCTTGTCCATCCCCTTGGCCCCAGCGTGGCTTCAACTGCCCTGATTTGGAAGCCATGGAAACTGGGAGCGTTACTGAGACTGAGATGGGGTCTGAGGGCTGCTGAAGCAGCAGTCAACAAAGTCCCTGCCTTCAGGGTGTCTCTGCTCGTATTCCATCCAGAAGGTGCCACAGGTGTATTTTGGGATGCACTAGAGGGTGCTTTGTGAGTGGATGTGCACTCTTGTCTCTAAGGGAGGAGGGAGACATGAGCCTCCAGGTATGTCTGGACTAGGTATTTGTCGCAAGTCTGCATTTGATCCACAATACTCAGCTGTAAGACATGTCACACTTATTTCTCTAAATCACATTTTCTACCCCAAACTCCCCCCAAATTCAATCACAATCATATTTTGGGAATCCTCTACCCAGTGGTGTGCTGGTAAATGGCTCGAGGGGGGCTGGTGCTAGGGAGGGACTTGATTTTGCCTTTGCCAATTTCCATGGTGTAAATACTCCCACCATGGCCAATTTCAAGCTGTCAACATGATGTCACTAATGGCGTTGCTGGGAAGAGGTGGGTAGCAATGCACCATTACGTGGCGTTTCCGCCACACAGATGTGAGTAACCCCAAGAGCATAAATAATAGCAAAATACAGAAAAATTATCAGGAAGTGATGCCCTTTGAATGTTATTGCCTTTGAATACACTTTATTTAACTGTAAGTTTACATAACTTAGTTTTTTATAATGCCCCCACCCCTCCGAAGCACTGGGTACAATTCCTGAGGGTTTATCCAGTCCGCAACGCTCAGGGGAGGACTCTGATCGTCAGTCAACTTCCATCTATCCTCGTGGGTCTGCGTGGGCTTTTGCCGTGATTCCCAAAGCACCACTCTCAGCACGCATGCAAACAGCCATCCCCTCCCCCCACTAGCAGCTGCAGCTCTGCAGGCCCATCAGAGGTCCTAGGAGACCCGAGTGGGAGGGGTGCACAGTTGCTATCACTCAAGGAAAGACAACAGCAGCAGCAAAGACACTCAGACCGCTGTTCACTTTCTCAGGCTTGGGAAAACTCTTCCAGCCTTCTCTGATCGGCCCACTTCCGCCCCTCTGGAGCCTGGGAGCCCTGCCCTCTGGAATAACCCAGCTCCACGTCTCCTAGAGCCGGACCTTGGTAAACAAAAGCCTCGACTGGGGGAATGTCTTTGGTGCCTGGCAACCTCTGTTTTCGGCCTGGCAACCCCAAAGCCTTTAACAGCCTCAGTCCCCACCCCCAGGCACAAAGGAGGAAACATACCCACAGCAAGGAGACCAAAATGCAAATTACGACCTCAATATGTTTCTCTGCAGCCTAGTCAGAGCACTGCGGTGGCAACAACCCACTGAGGCACTGAATTAAACAAAAAAGGGTTGAGGTTATGAAAGGAGAGGTTCCAGCTAGAGTTCAAGAAAGTTTTCCAGACCTGCCTGCAGAGAATTAAACGCAGACACTGTGAAGGTAAGTAGTCTCCCCTCCGGGCTGCCCCCGCAACCACTCAAAGCTGATATGCCTCCCCCATGCTTATATAATGTCCTCTGATGGCTCCCTACAGCCTCAGCATGAAGTCTTATTAGTAGCTGAGTGCCTGAAACTTGTAAGGTGAGAGTAGTCCTATTTTACAGGTGAGAAAACTGAGGCTCAGAGAGGGTAAGTTACTAGCCTGAAGGCACACAGCTAAAGAAGTAGTCAAGGCTAGAATGTGAACTCAGATCTGACTCCAAAGCCTGTGTTCTTTGCCCTGTGTAACCCCATCTCTCATCCTTACCTGACACTAATCTACCTCTGCAGCATCCCCTGCCCACAACTTCCACCACCTCCTCACACAGGAGCCGGGGAAAGGAGAGCAAGCAACAACTTGCTGAATTGTGAAACAACAACCTTGTGTTAGTTAATGCTGGCCAGACCATAAGAATATTTTACAGCTTAGTGTCATTGAACATTTTTTCTCTCTAAGCAAGATAAAGAGTTTCTCTGCCTTGGCACTACTGATATTATTTTTTCTATTTTTTCTCTTTTTTTGAGGAAGATTAGCCCTGAGCTAACATCTGCTGCCAATCCTCCTCTTTTTGCTGAGGAAGACTGGCCTTGAGCTAACATTTGTGCCCATCTTCCTCTACTTTATATGTGAGACACCTGCCACAGCATCGCTTGAGAAGCATCGGCACTATTGATATTTGGGGCAGGATTATTCTTTGTTGTGGGGACTGTCTTGTGCATTGTAGGATATTTAGCAGCATCGCTGGCCTTTACCCACCAGATGTCAGTAGCACCCCCCAGGTTGTGACAACCAAAAGTGTCTCCAGACATTGCCAACGTTCCTCTGGGAGACAAAATGGCCCCCAATTGAGAACCACTGAGTTAGACCAAAGGTAAAAAAGCAACTGTTTCAAAGAAGTAGGTCTTGGGAGTAACTAAAATGTGCCAGCGAGGAGTAACTCCCCTGTTGTGAAGTAGCTTAGTGGAGATAGATCAGTGAGGTCCAAGCTCCTTCTTCTGATGCAAGATCCAGAGCAGTCCTTCGGAGCGCCCTTGAGGGAACACAATATTCCCATAAAGAACCTTTCATCTCTCCAGACCTTTGCTCTTTTCCTGCAGTGCCCGTCCCATCCTTCAAGAACCAGCTCAGATGCCTCCTCTCTGGGAAGCCTTTCCTGCGCCCCCAAGGCTGTTGGTCACTGGAGAGCCCTGAGAGCAGGCATTATACTGCATCCCATTTGTATATTTTGTATCCCTTTCTATCTCATAAATGGGGCAGGAATTCAATCAAGACCTGAGTCAATTATTTTATTTATACTGAGAACTTCTGTGGCAGTCTCTGTGCTAGGGGAATACGGAGGACACAGGACACAATGCACAGTCCAGTTCAGGGAGAACCAATGAATGGAGTTGGTACAATGCTAGCGTTGGGGTTTGAGAGTGATACTTACACCCCCTCCCCAAGTTCAGGCCAGCTGAGAGGTATGCACACAGGCCCATCAGGCAGGAGGAGGGAGAGCCAAGTCAGCTTTATTGGTAGCTGCTGGTATTTGGACCTAAGCTCAAAAAAATTTGCCCTCTCATGTCTAGATCTTGAGAAGACCCACCCAAGGGACAGTCTGGATCTGCAGGACAGACATACCTACCCAGTCTTTGGGCCAACCCTGAGAATGGGGTCAGCGAGGTAGTTCTCCAGATTTGCCTCTAGAAATCTGAGTGGAGCCCTGGCCATGTGTTCACCACATCAAGGACAGGAGCGGGAAGGTGTGAAAAGGGAGTGGAGCCCAGGTCTTATTTGCCTGTTGAAGCTTCTCTCAATCTCCTCGATCCCATAAAACATTCCTTCTCCCCAGGGGAAGATCAAGTGAATGAGAAAGGGAATGGGAGGAGGTAGGGTTAGGAGCTCTCTGGGGTCCCTTTTATAAAGGCACTAATGCCATTCATGAGGGCTCCACCCTCATGACCTGATCACTTCCCAAAACCTCCACCTCCAGGTACCAGTACATTGGGGATTAGGTTTCGACATATGAATTTGGGGAGGACGCAAACATTCAGTCTATAGCAGCCAGTCTTGGGGCCCCATTCCAAATCAAATGAATCAGAATCTCTGAGACGTGGGGCCCAGACATGGACATTTAAGACAAAATGTCAACTAGGTGGAGAATCTCTCCTATCTAAAAACGTAAGACTTGGAAACAGGAAAATGGGGGCCTTCAGCAGTGGTTCCCAAACTTGTCTGCATGTTGGAATCACCTGTGGAAATTTAAAAAAATAGTGATGCCTGTGATCCCACCCCAGAGACTGTGATTTACTTGGTCTGGGTGTTGGGATTTTTAGACTATCCCTAGATGATTCCAATGTACATACAAGTTTGGGATCCAAGGACTAGAGTATTTCCTGGTGGTATATGCTAGCTGATGGCTAAGGACTAACCATCTCTTGCTTAAGCTCAGCCATGAAGGGCCTCCTCTTGCCAATGATCAACAATACAAGCAACTGTTACCCTGACCAGAAAGTTTGGTTGGTTCTTCTGCAAAGCAGAGATGGAAGTGAAGGTACCTTGGTTGGTCTGAGCAAGAGCAAAGGTAACTGCTCCTCTTTTCCCCAGGTGGCTCTTCAGACTTAGAGGGTCACATACTGGTGCTGGTCCCAGTCTCTTCTGATTTCCCTTCTCACCTTCCTTCCTGCCCTGAGAGCCTCTTGTATACAATGGATAGCTCCAACAGCTTCTCTCTGCTGGTCATGACTCCAGTTTACAAGTGATGGAAACCCAAGTCGAACTGATTCATTAACCGGCTCATGTATGAAAGAGTCCAGAGGTGCTGCTAGCTTCAGGCATGGCTGAATCCAAAGCTCAACTGGTATAGCTGGGAGTATGTCTTTCTCAACACATGGCTCTGCCTTCCAGCTGGGTTGGCTTCATTCTCAGGAAGGTTCTCTCCAAATAGTGGCAAAGATGACCATTAACAAGTCCAGGCTGCTACTCTTCTAGTTTAGCAATCCCAGAAGGAAGAGAAAGCCCTTTTCTCAGTGTTCTGGAATAGGTCTCGGGTTGATACTCATTCCCTCTGCTAGCCTGGTTTGAGCCACCTGCCAATCACTGTGGTCAAAGGAATGAAATGTGCTGATCAGCTAGAGTCACCTGCCCACCCTGGAGCAAGGGTGGGGGAGGGATGGCTTCTCAAAGGATTATCAGAGTGCTGTTACCAGAAGGAAGAGGAATGGAGGGCTGTTGAGCAGGCAGAGAAACAGATGGCCACTGTATTTGCTCCCAGGTTACTGAAGGAATGGAATGTGCAGAAATCACAACGTAAGGTAGGATCTGACAAATGCAGAGTAGGGTACTGGGGTACTCGTGAGGAAGGGGGATCTTGAACTGATAGATTAGCCTTTGATAGGTAGGGCCCCTGGGGAGGGAGGGCATCAGCTGGCACGAGGATGCAGGAAGCCCAGAGTATGGTCAAGATGAGCACTCATGACCAGAGCATTGTGTATGAAGGAGCTGAGGCTGGTGAGGACATGGAGGCCAGACGGTTGAGGGCCTTGAACTTGCCCTTCATCCTGATGGCAGTGGAGAGCCTTTGAAAGTGAAGGTGAAGCTGGAGAGGGTCAAAAGTTAGACCCCTCAGGGCCTTGTAGACCACATTGAAGATTTAGGGTTTGATCCTGAGGGCACTGGAACCAGGGATGACATGATCAGAGTTGTACTGGAAGAGACAGAACTCTGACTACCTTCCAGAGCATGGCCTGGATGGAGAAAGGCAGGAGGCAGGGAGGCTGGGCAAGAGACCGTAATCATAAACAACACTTATATACCGCTTACTCTGTCCCAGGCTCTTTTCTAATGACTTTACACCAGTTAAGACATGTGAAGACCTGAAACAGGGTGGTAGGGGTTTCAATAGATGTTCTGGGCGCAGAATACATTGGACTTTGTAACTGATGCCATATGGGAGATGAAGTAGAAAGAGGAAGCCAGGATTCCTCTGAGATTTTTAACTTGGGGGAGCAGGATAGAGGAGCCCCTATCAGAAACAGAGAAAGGAGAGCTAAGAAAAGTCCATACACATACACTGCTGCCAATTCTGTGCCTAGCCCACTGCCCGGACCTAGGAAGATGAACAACAAACAAGTTGTTGCCATGCAGGTGATGGCTGTGCAGGAGACACAGGTATGTCATGGATGATTTCAGGACATTGTAACGAGGGCGGGAAGACTTGTACAAGCAGAATAGGGTAGGAAGGCAGTAATAGCACTTCCATCCACACAGTTGCTCAAGCCAGAGAGGTGGGACGTCAACCTTGGCTCCTCCCTCCCTCCCTCGCTCATCTAGTCAATCACAAAGACCAGTAGATTTGATCTCCTAAATATCTTTTGAGTATCTTGAATCTGCCTACTTTCTTTATCCCCACTGAGAACACACTAGATCATGCCATTGTGTCTTCTCATTTGAACTACTGTAATATAACTTCCTAATTGGTTTCTCCACTTTCCTTCTGGTTTGCCCTAATCCATTCTCACACTGTCCAGAATAATCCTTTAAAACAGGAAATCTGGGGGGCCAGCCCGGTGGCATGGGGGTTAAGTTCGCACATTCCACTTCAGTGGCCCGGGGTTCTCTGGTTTGGATCCCGGGTGTGGACCTACACACTGCTTGTCAAGCCATGCTGTGGCAGGCATCCCACGTATAAAGTAGAGGAAGATGGGCATGGATGTTAGCTCAGGGCCAGTCTTCCTCAGCAAAAAGAGAAGGATTGGCAGCAGATGTTGGCTCAGGGCCAATCTTCTTCAAAAAATAAAAAATAAATAAAATAAAAAAGGAAATCTGAATTCCTCCCCTGCCTATAAACCTTTCAATGACTTCCCATTACTTTCAGACTAAAATCCAGTATCTTCAGCCTGGACTATAAGACCCAGCAGGATCTGCCTTATGACTTCACCAGGCTCATTGTGCTTTAGTTCCTACTACCGGATGTGGCAGAGTCAATGGCAGGCCTAACAATGTTGAGGATGTGCCAAGTTCCTTCAGGCCACAGGGCTTTCCCTTGTGTTTTTTCTTCTTCCGGGAATGCTCTTCCCCAATTAGTAGCCTGGTTAACTACAAAGTTTATCAGTCACTTTCTCAGGGAAGTCTCCTCTGACCTTTTAGCCTCAGGTCTGGACCTCCAGATTCTATGCCAAGAGTCAGTACACATTTTTTGTAAAGGGCAGATAGTAAATATTTCAGGCTTTGCAGGTCATAGTGTCACATCTACTCAACTCTGGATCATAGCCGCCATAGACAATACATAAACAAATTTATGGATGCCGAACTTTGAATTTCACATACTTTTCACAAGTCAAGAAATAACTAGCCTTCTTTTGATTTTTCTTTTTCAACCATTTAAAATGTTAAAACAATTCCTAGCTTCTGGCCATACAAAAAGAGGCGGCAGGCTGGAACTGGCCCATAGGCTGGAGTCTGCTGACACTACTTCTCTGTTGTCATAGGACATACCATACACTTTGCTGTAGTAATCAATTATGCATGTGATAGACTTCTTAATGCTGTCTCTCCAGTTGGAAGTAAGCTCTCTGAGGGCAGGGACCACATTTGTTTTGTTTACTGTTTTCCTCCTGGGCTGCTAGCACAGAGCCTGGCATCATAGTTAAGTACTCAGTAAATGAATGGAGTGATAAGGGGACAAGTGATAAGCGATAAGCCTTTCTTCCTTGAGAGGAGCTCAAAGCATAGTGGAGAATTTGGACATGTAAACAATTAACTACACAATTAACTACCCTAAAGCTGTTTTGGAGGGAAGAAGGGTTCAGTTTTCGGCAGGTTTAGTTTGAGATACAGGTGGGAAATCAGGATATGGTGACTTCCAAACATTTGGAACTACGTGATTTGAGGCTAAGATGTGGTTGTGGGAATAAGACGAGATGTAAAAGACTACTGGGGTATGCCAGCTCACTCAAGGAGAGAGGCTGAATGAGGAGAGGGTGGAGGCTGCAACTGTATGGCAAGTTTCTGGGCCAGGAAACTGGCAGAGGAAGAGAGAGGTAAGAAGAGATTCAGCATAGTTATTTCAGAAAACAGGAGGAACGACTATGTATTATTTTTGTATCCATCTAGTTTACCACTGTGTTCCTAGTATTTTGCACTGGGCATGGCATACAGTAGACACTCAGAAAATCTGTGAATTGAAGATTAAATTGCGTCAGAACATTTCAAGAAGCACTACACAGGATGCGGCCTACAGGAAGCGCTCAAAGAAGGAAGAAAGAGTAGGCAGTGTGGAAGGAATGCTGCTGAAGCCGGTAAGGGTGAGGGCTGATGTGGCAGGGTCTGAGACTTGAGCCTGTTAAGCTTTTCTCGTAGAAGAACAGTACACTCCTTCCATATTTACTCATGTTTACTTTGCCCTCGGGATGCAGAAATCCATCAAACCTGCTCTCTGTTCTCAAAGAGCTCGCAGTCTGGTGGGGAAGACAAACACAGACCCTGATAATTATAAAGTGCAAAAGTACTGTTGGGAGTCAAGAGATGGGGAGGAGCTAATAAACGTGGAAGGCTTCACAGAAGACCTGGCATTTGAGCTTAAGGGTTCGAGTTCACTAGGACAGGAATTCCAGCAGAAACCAGCCTGTGTAAAACTCTGATCAACGCAGCGGTTCTCAAACATATGCCTAAGAATCACTGGAGAGGTCTGTGTAAAATACAGATTCTAGGGCTACACCCCCGGGAAACTTCTGGTTCAGTAGGTGAGTGGCACCTATTTAAACAAGCTCCACAGGACCACACTAATGTGTTCCCACTGACATGGAAGGGGTGGTGGGGGCGGAGGATGAACCGAGAAAGAGCTTTGCCCATGGGATCGTGGGTCTCCGAAGGAGGTCACACTATCACAATAAAAACAACTCCATTTTGCGTCGCGCTTTCAGGGTACCAGACACTTTCACGTTCCTTACTTTGTCGGAGCCCGCGACAACTCTGTGCGGTAGAAACTATGAACCTCATTTCACAGGGGAGAAAACTGAGGCTCAGAGCAGGGAGACGATTTGCTCAAGGTCACAGAGCGAGAGGTAGCAGGACAGAGACTGAAATCCAAACGACCACATTCCTGCTTCGAGACTTCGGCAACGAAAGCAGGCCGCGAGTGGGTGGGGCTCAAGTCCTCCCTCCGGGCTGGTTCCAAAATGGTGGGGGCAGTGGCGTCAGCAACGCTCCCGCCCCTTCCGTCCACCTCCCTCCTTCTTCCCCAGGCCACCCAGGCGGGGGGAGGGGATGGAACGGAGGTACCCACGTGATGCCGACAACCTGGCGCGTGACGTAAGGCGGCGGGCGCAGCGCTCGCGTTGCCTTATGGGAAGCGTAGTTTAGCCTACCGTCAAGTTGGCAAGGCGGGACGGGCTTAGGACTACATTTCCCAGGAGGCAGCGGGGCGACGCCGCCGCTGCCGCCGTCGGAGAGCGGGGACGCGGGGCGCGCTGTCGGGCGGGGGCGAGGTTCGGGCCGGTTGTGCCGTTGCGAGGCTGCGGCTGCGATCGCTGCGGTGGGCCCAGGTGAGTGAGGGCCTGTGATGGGAATTAGGGCAGCTCAGGAGGATCCAGTCGTTTCATCTTTTACCTTTTCTCCGCGGCGGCTGGGTCAGGGTGCCCGGGCAGGCCCAGCACGGAGCCGCTCCCCCGCGCCTGCCTCCTGGCCTCTTCTGAGCGGGCCCTGCTCGCTCCGGCTCCTCCCCCTCCCCGCCCTTCAGGGCTTCCCCTCGCTCCGGCCTAGTCCCGACGCTCAGAGCCGCCTTTTCTCCCGAGCAGGTCCTACACTTCTTTCTTCTCCTTGCAAGCTGCCAGGGAGAGGCCTGCACCACTTGCATGTCCTCCTTTAGTCATATGAACCCCATTATTTGGATTTCTCCTTTTCCCGGAACTCTTGGGTGCCCTTCCCCCCGACCTAGTCTCAATTGGCCTCGTTCTGTCTTCTCCTAGAGCGCATGTGGCTGGCACTCAGTAAATGTTAGTGCCGTTTCGGATCTTTCCTAGTTTGTGGCCAGCAGAGGCATAGTCCAAATTTATCTGCTTTTATTTCAGTCTCTCGGGCTAAAGGTGAGGCCGACTTGCATTCCCATAGTAATCGGCGTGTTTCTGCTTATGAGGCAGTGTCCTTTGCCTCTCTTCCCAACTAATCAACTTTTATCAGCTATTGTCTTTGCCTTTCGAAATCTTAAGGGTGGAGCATAGCAGCAGAAGCTGGCGAGTAGCGCTGGTGCCAAGAGTTGGAAGCCATCAGTGTTAGTACAGTGTTTACGGGGAGGTTGTTAATTGGATTGAAGGAAAAGCCTATGAGAGTATGGTGGAGCATGGCGAGAGAGAGCCAGTGAAGCTTCTGGTGGCAGCATAATAGAAAGATCCTGGAGCCGGCTTGCCTGGGTTCGCATCTTGGCCCTGCTAACTTTGATTTCAGGTGAAGGGGCGTCAACTTCCAGGTGCCTCAGTTTCCTTATCTGCAAAATAGCGGTGAGTAACAATGACCACTTTACAGGGTTATTGTGAAGATTAAATGAGATTAAACTGAAAATTGTTTGGCTCATTACCTGACATGTATTGAAAATTATTATCGTGGTCATCATTTATAGGATTTCTAGACTGTGGGCCTAGAGTGGAAAGGCCTGTATCACACCATCATTTGCCTCCCCTTCAGATGGCCCTCCCTTTTTTGTTTGTGGAAATACTAACTGTTGTAGTTTGTCCTGTTATCTAGATAGTCTGATGGGTGTATCATTATGTAGAAGCCAGTTAAGGAGCCAAAAACGACTGCTGCCATGAGTAACTAGTCGTGCAAATCGGGCTTAGTTTGTTTTTTGCTGGGGAATGTGTTTTGTGAACTAGTGTACACCCTTTAGCAATATCGAAAACAGTTTTTTTCTGCAGCCCTTTAGACTTGATTGTATTTTGTAGAAGAGGCGAATTGAAGTTTCCGTAACAGACTGTTTAACTAAAACCTTTTATGTCAATACAGCTCCATCTCGGTTCTTTAAACTTTTTAGCACAAGTGAAAGAGCTCCGGTTTTGGTGACTGGGATTTTTAGTCTGCAATCGAGGCACAGTCCTATCCTCGCAGTGGTGGTAGTAATAGTAGCAGCAGCAGTCATAGTAGGAATTCTTGACTATATTCCTTTGATACCAGGTACAGGTACTTTTTGAATTTGGTTTAGCCAGTGAAGTTATGGATTGTAAAAGGAGTGGCCTCTTTTCTACTGAGCAGTTGGTGGGAGGAAGCTTGGAGTATTTCCGAGGTTAGCAACAGGACGGGGAGAGATGTGGCTGGCTAAGAGAGAACATAAGACATATGATTGGTTGATTGATTGATTGATTTTTTTTGAGGAAGATTAGCCCTGAGCTAACATCTGCAGCCAGTCCTCCTCTTTTTTTGCTGAGGAAGACTGTCCCTGAGCTAACATCCGTGCCCATCTGCCTCTACTTTATATGTGGGATACCTGCCACAGCATGGCCTGCCAAGCAGTGCCATGTCCGCACCCGGAATCTGAACTGGTGAACCCCGGACCGCCGAAGCGGAACATGCGAACTTAACCACTGGGCCGCTGGGGCTGGCCCCACGATTTCTTTATTTTCTTTCTTTCTTTCTTTATTTTTGAGGAAGATTAGTCCTGAGCCGACATCTGCTGCCAGTCCTCCTCTTTTTGCTGAGGAAGACTGGTCCTGAGCTAACATCCGTGCCCATCTGCCTCTACTTTATATGTGGGAGGCCTACCACAGCATGGCTTGCCAAGAGGTTGCATGTCCTCACCTGGGATCCGCACCTGGGATCCAAACTGGTGAACCCCGGGCCGACAAAGCGGAATGTACGCGCTTAACTGCTGCGCCACCGGACCAGCCCCGATTTCTTTATTTTTTAGAATGCATAGTCTTAACCACTCAGAATCTTAAGGTGCTAGCCTGTTTCCCTTGGGCATGGTGACATCCTGGATTGAAAGAAGTGCGGTTAATGCTAGTCTCTCACATACTAGATTTTGGTGATTTGCTTCACACACTTATTTTGTAAACATCTAAGATTAATTCCGTATTTAACTGATTGAGTGATTGATTCAGCAAATAGTGCCTAAGAACCTACCAGCTGCAGGCCCCTGTCCTAGGTTCTGGGAATACATGGGGGTTTGGGCCAGAAGGGGCTCTTGCCATTTGGGAACTTACAGTATAGTGGGAGAAGACACCACAGGTAAGTAAGTAAATTACACATTGAGAAAAGTGACGTGAAGGTATTGAGCAAGGGACTCGGGTGGACACTAAAAAGGGAGAGGCCTGAGGGTGGTCAGACTTGTTCTTTTTGTTGAGAGTGAGGAGACCATTTTGTAGGGCATCAAGGAGACAGCATTCCAGGTGGAGGGAACCCCAAGTGCCAACACTAGAAGATGGGAAGAATTTAGTGTGCTTTTAGAACTGAAAAGAGGCCAAGTGTGGCCGACACATAATGAGGAGAGTGGTTAAAGACGAGATTGAGAGGTGAGGTTGTACACCGAAGCCATTGAAACCTTCTCATGGGTGGGAGGGGTTGCCGTCTGATTTATATTTTGAAGTCACTTTTGGATAGAGCTGGCCCAATGGCATGGCAGTTAAGTTCACAGGGTCCACTGGGTTCGGATCCCAGGTGTGGATCTAGCACCGCTTATCAAGCCATGCTGTGGTAGGCGTCCCACACATAAAGCAGAGGAAGATGGGCACGGATGTTAGCTCAGGGCCAGTCTTCCTCAGCAAAAAGAGGAGGATTGGCAGCAGATGTTAGGTCAGGGCCAATCTTCCTTCCCCCCAAAAAAAGAGTCACTTTTGCAGAGGTGTGGAAAATGGATTATGGGGGATATGAATTAAGAGGCTATTGTACCAGGTACATAGTAGTTGGTACAATACTGAAGATGGTAGTTGTTTGAAGTAGATTGAGGGAGTAGAGCTGAAGAAGCGGAGGGTTTGGAGATTACGTAGGTTTAATATTCTCTAGAGCAGGATGTTCTTAATCTATGGTCGGTGGACTACAAGGGACCCACGAACTCTAAAATTTTTGTGAGGAAGTCTGTTTTCTCAAGGAAAGGGTTGTTACCTTCCTTCACATTCATTAGAATCTCAGAGTTAAGAACCACTGTTCTAGAGTTTGTAACGTAGGTTTATGGCCCATAAAAAAGTAATTGTCCACCACATACCAGGAGAGTAAGAGTCATGGGCACTCTTTCTAAAAGATTGACTTTCTTAATCTTTCAAGGGAACTCCTCTTTTTTTTTTTTAAATCAAGGTTAAATGCCATGCCCTAGAAATCATCTTTTAGTTTCTTTTGTCTGGAAGTTAAGGGCTGATGGACATTCTGAGAAAGCTGGACATTAGTGAACCAGTTTAACAAAAACCCAGTTCCTATTGTTTTCTTTTCTTCCATTGGGTTTTGTTTACTGTTCCTATTTTAGTGGTAGAAATGGAGCACCCTAGTGTGTAAAGAGCAAGATAATTTTCTTCTTGCTTTCCTTCAGTTATGGGTTTCAGATGTATGTTCGTGTATCTGGTGGTGTATTTTCAGATGATAGCGTGTCACTGGAACCAGAGGGTGTGCTTTCTACCCCAAAGCTGAGAGTTCTGCTGAAACAACCAAGTTTTTTTTTTTTGTGGCAGAGGTTGAAACTGAAGGCTCATGGACTAGATCCAGTCTGCATATGTGTTTTGTTTGGCTCACACAGAGTTGTAAAATTGGAGTTAGTTGTCAACATTAAAAAACAGGGAGATTCCGTGTAAAAATTTGGATTCGGGCTGCTTTTGAAAAATCCGATCTGGCAGCCGTGGACCTGTGTGTCTGCTCTGCCGCAGCCATCTTCTCTGGTTGGGCATGTCTTCTCCAGTGTGACCCACCTCACCACAGCCTGACGCGTGTCCCTGACGTGGAGCAGGGTGTGCGTTGGTGTTTACTATTTTTTGCCTTTATATTACTTGTCTGTTGTAGGCGTTTTCATTTGTTCCCCTGTTCTAGAGACATGATACAGGTCTCTAATGCCCCCACTTAAAGTCATCTGGCTGTCTTTTTTTTTTTCCTTGAGTTTATTTTTTTTCCTTTTTCTCCCCAAAGCCCCCCAGTACATAGTTGTATATTCTTCGTTGTGGGTCCTTCTAGTTGTGGCATGTGGGACGCCGCCTCAGCGTGGCTCGATGAGCGGTGCCATGTCCACGCCCAGGATTCGAACCGACGAAACAGTGGGCCGCCTGCATCGGAGCGCACGAAGTTAACCATTCGGCCACGGGGCTGGCTCCTCATCTGGCTGTCTTAATGTTACATCACCATTTAAAAATTTTTTTCTGTCTTGGTGCCTTATTTTTTTCGTTTGTTTCTTTTAAACAAAAGGAAATTTTAGTTAACTTTAGAAGAGGAAGACGAAGCAGTAAGAGGGAAGAAACCTCAAAACAGTGAATTATTTTGTTTCCAAACTGAAGAAACCCAAGGGCTTTTAGAAAGTATGAAGGCATCGATCTGACCCCTGCCCAGGCTTTTTAGCTGGCGTATTTTCAGTGTTCTCATTTTTGTTCTGCCTGATTTGCTTTTTAGCATCTGGAATGTTGTGACTGTGTAGCTTGGCTTGTTTCAGAAGATAGAAGGCCAAGCAAAGAGACATTGCTGAATGTCTAATTAGAAGGCTTTGGGCTCCTGGCCCGAGGCCTAAGAACTAAAGTGGATTTTTGTTTGTTTTTTAATAATATGTCTCTGTGAAACCCATTGCTTTGCTTTCAGTAATTGTGTGTT